GGGCTGGTACAGGGCAAGCCTGAGCCAGCCCTAACTATAAGCTTTATCAAAGAGGAAAGTCTTAAGTCTAGTCTTAAATGTGGAGACGGTGTCTGCCTCCCGGACCGTAACAGGAAGATGATTCCACAGGAGAGGAGCCTGATAGCTGAAGGCTCTGGCTCCTGATCTACTTTTGGAGACTTTAGGGACCACGAGTAACCCTGCGTTCTCAGAGCGCAGTGTTCTGGTGGGATAATATGGCACTATGAGCTCTCTAAGATATGACGGAGCTTGACCATTTAGAGCTTTGATATAAAGTCAAACTATTTAAAGAAAACAACAGTATATACTGTAAGATCAAAGAAATACAGGTTCGGATATTTGTCATCAGAGTTGTACATGTCTCTGTATCAGGGTTAATTAAGGTGTAATATTAAATATCTGCAGTTTTCCTGTACGGGGGAAATTAAAGTTTGTTTTGTAAACAGGAAGTCCTCCTGACGCTCTGATCTTAGAGTCTCCGTTCACCAATATCAGAGAGGAGGCCAAGAGCCATCCCTTCTCCATGGTAATGCTCACACACACTGACAGCAGTTGTAGGTGTGTGTGTTTGCTTTGTACTCAGTGTGTGTGTGTGTGTGTGTGTGTGTGTGTGTTTCAGGTGTACAGATACCTGCCCGGCTTTGATTGGTTCTTCCTGGACGCCATCACAGCCAACAACATCCGCTTCGCCAGCGATGAGAAGTATGTAACCTAACTACTTTTCAGGAGACTTTTCAGTGTGTTGTCTCTCTGTCTGCTCCGGTTGGGTTCAGCTCCATTGACCAGCACTGATCACTGACACACTGAGATAAAAGATCTGAGTTTCAAAAATACTTCCTGACCTTCTAAAAGTGAGGGTGAGATACTTAAAAGTTCGGCTCGCAAATATTTCTCAAGTTTCTGGAAAAGTCCCAAAATTCCTAACAAGGTTTCTTTGTACTCACAACGGTTTCCTCAAAAATGTGAAACAAAAAAATTGTTAAAGGAAAAACTCCTAACTTTAAAAAAAGTCTCAAAGGTCTTGAAAATACTTACTTACAAAAAAAAATTGTTTCAAATATATAAAATATGCTTACGTTAAAAAGAATCTGAGAGGTCCCGCAAATGACCAAAACCTTTACAGTATCTTACCGCCACTTTTCAGGAAATGTTTTAAATAGTTTCTTCTTTAGGAACTGGAACAGTTTCAGATGCACATGAACACATCAAACAACTTCATTTTCAGTGAATTGTGAACACTTTCAGAAACTTCTGAAATTTCTTTGAAAGTTAGAAACTTTTTCAGAAATGCAAAAACGTACTTTTTTACAGAACACTTTGTGTAACCAAGAACTTTTTTTGCTGTCTCACCATGACATTTAGAAGCTCAGGAAATATATTTTCTGAAATTTCATCTTCTTTAGGAACTTTTTTTGTTGAAGGTCTGAAACTATTTGAGATGCTCAGATAAATCAGCACATTTTATATGAATCAGGAACTTTTTGTAGCAATTTGGAAACTCAGGAAGATTTTCTGAAACTCTCTAGATTTTTTTCCTTTTTTAATAACTTTTATGGAAACAGGAACATTTTTAAGTTTTTTAAGAACCTTTTTGAGTCCACAGGAACTTGTCTAAACCTGCTTTGAAAATGCAAAAATTAATTCAGGAACTTTTAGACCTTTTCGTGAGCGCAGCAGCTTCTTTTGAGAAACTCTGAGTCGTTATTTGGAGCTCATGAGCTTTGGACCCAACGACAGCTGGTCTGAGTTCAGATCTAAATCTTGTGTGAGCTTAAATGTTGGAGCAGAGTTTCAGTGAGATTAACAGACTCAGATTCAGGACAAAGTCCACGTCAGGCTGATCTCAGGACTGTTTACGTCTTTGTTACAGCTGCTGACCCTGCAGGAGTTTTATCTACATGATAACCACATAAATATCACTCAACATGGTGAAAGATCAGCATCTAGTGGCCGTCAGAGGAACTGCAGCAGCAGCTTCATATAAACCTCTACAGTGTATTCCTGCAGTGCCCCCTGCTGTTGATGTGCAGCAGTAACATTAACCTGTGTCTCTGTCTTCATTCAGTGTGAATCACATCTCCTGTCCAGTGTTGATCCTCCACGCCGAGGACGACAGCGTGGTTCCTTTCCATCTCGGCAAAAAGGTAACAGGACCATAGATGAGATCACAAACAAGACCACAGACGAGACCATAGACGAGACCGCAACCAAGACCACAGACGAGACCATAAACGAGACCACAAACAAGATCACAGACGAGACCACAGACGAGATCACAAACAAGATCACAGACGAGACCACAAACAAGACCACAGACGAGACCACAAATGAGACCACAAACACATCATGTTCTCACAGTAACTAAATGTTAGTGTCGTCCTGCAGCTGTACACCCTGGCGTCCCAGTCGAAGAGCCTCAGCGGTCACAAGGTTCAGTTTGTTCCTTTCCCATCCTCTCTGGCCTACAAGCACAAGTTCATCTACAGGAGCCCAGAGCTGCCAAACATCCTCAGGTACCAGCAACACCACCACCAGCACCACAGTAAACTCTCATCTGGTTCTTGTAGCAGAACAGATCACAGCCTGGGTCAGCAGGGTTTGACTTAGAGTCAAAACACTTGTCATATTTGTCCCCGGGGGTTTTGTGTCCCTGTCGTCAGGACAGGCAGACTTGTCCCTTAAAAACATTTTAGCACTAATCTGAGTCAAATTATCAACAGACAACAAAGTTTGTAATCAACAAGTGTAAACTTTTCTGCGAGCTAACGCTGCAGCCAGAAACAAACATCTGTGATCCATCGTCTGTTTGATCATCTAAACACATTTCCTTGGAGCGGTCCTCCTCAAATGAACTGTGGTCAAAGTTACTATATATTCTGTAATGATCCATGATTAGGGAGCTGATAAGAAAACTGTGCTACCGCTAGCTGTGCTGACATTGCTAGTAGTGCGAACAGACCTAACAGTAATAACAATGCTAATGATGCTGAAGGGGTTTGTGGCTTAAAATGAAGCTGCTTGCTCACCGGGGCGACCTGGGCGGAGACTGGAGGGCAGGAACAGTGTTCCTATAGCAACGCTGATGGGTCAGGACGGTGTTACTAGAGGTAATCACTGAATGAGCGGCACCACTAGCTAACATTAGCTCCCACCAGACCAGGTGGTACACAGAGCAGTAAACTGAAGAGCAACAAAATAAAGCAGAACAGGTGAAAAACATTTCAGACAAAAAGCTGAGAAGAATATATTTTCGTCAGTCATTTTCAAGAACAAAATTTATTTCACATTTACATGTTTTTCTCATTTCCTTGCCTCAGTTTGAAATGTATGAATAACAATAATAATGAAAATAATGATATTCTGTGAGAGGTACAGCCGTGGAACACGTTGTCACGTTCAGGGATCGTTCAGTGTTCTGTTGTCTCCATCTCCTCTGTGGTCGTCATGGAGATCCCGTTTAGTCCCATCAAACTTGTTTGTTTCTTCGGCCAATCAGACAACTGAGCTCAGTTTAATCTGTGAGGTTAAACATTGTCTAAAGAATATTACCTGAATTATAAAAGACATTTAAAATATTTAATCATCAAATTGTGTTTTCAATAAAATGTGGCACTTTGAACATTTATTATCCGACAAAACATGTCGACAGCTCACTGATTACAACAAACATTTATTGAAAACAATTTGGAGGTAAATTCTTTAAGAAAATAAAACTTTGGAAACGTGCCTGATTAAAACAGAATTTTCACTGGGTGAATTTAATCACATCAAATTGTAATAAGTTCAATAATTTAGCAACATTTAATGAGCTACTGGACCAGTCGTGCACGTCCTGGTGTGACCTCAGCGTCGGCTGAGCTGGACACCAAAGATTAAACGTGGCTCACGTGACTGAAACAAACTTTACTGTCAAACTGTTTTGAATGTTGTCCTGTTTCTGTTTGATGGTCACGCTGACGTCTTGTGTCTGTGTTGTGTCGTTGCAGTGATTTCCTCGGCACGGCTCACCAACAGACGGACGACTCAGCCTGAGAACACACACACACACACACACACACACACACACACACACACATTTGTTTCCTGACGAGACTGAAGGTTGTCGCATGAAATGAACAACAAACATGTCATTCCTTTTATTTTCCATTCCTCTCACGCCAACACTGGCTTCACAGCGCACTGGGTTGCCATGGTAACTGGACTCACAGCGGAGTGTGTTTAACGTACTGTAGATGGAGGAGGACGGTGATCAAACCAAACTGGAGAACGAACAGAGACGATCGATCTTTTTAATATCTGATCTTATTGTGTGATTTTTAAATTTTTGTTTTGGGTCCATCTGATGGCGTTTCTTTTCTGGGTTTGAAGGCCTGTTATGACTTGAATATGAATTATGGATTAAATATTTCTTGTTTTATGACACTGTTTTTTTTTCCCGGGTTTTTTGAGTGGTAGGAAAATCAAACACACCGAAGACATTCTGAGTGCAACAACAGTTTAATTCAGCAACAGATACAGTACGTGAATCAGACTGTCATTCATGGTAAGTAAACAGGGATTCTGAATGGACTCCATTACCCACAAGACACCTGGAGTACAACGCTGAGGCCTCTGTGTCATGCTCACGTCATGTTGGACGTACCGCTTTTAATTTTTTCTCCCCAAAATTTGCATTTGCTAAGTAAAAAACAATTACGAAAAGTAAACCCAAATTTAATGGACATCAATAACAACACAGTATTTTTTAACTCTCACATGACTGAGTGTGAAGTCAATGGTTCCAAGTCATTAACGTGAAGTTTTCCCAATCACTGTTTAATCCCACATGACCTGAACGCAGCATGAGCGACATCAGCGCTACGAATAAAACTTAAAAGTGCAGAATTTTTTTTTTTTTTTTTAATGGAGTTCATGGAAAACAAAATAACCTGAAAACAGAAAACCCATTGTCCCATTCATATGACAGTCAGAGAAGTGAAGTGAACGGTAAACGTACAGGAAGTCAAAGGGACACATTTTTAGTTCCACAAAGTCAAAGAAATCAAAAATCTTTAGTTTCCATTCAGGGTACAAAAACAGAGCCGGTTAATGGAATAAATTGTTCTCTAGAAGTACACACAAAGTCCCAGTGTATGTCAGTGGAGCAATTACCAGTTGTAACTGATGTCAATGGAACAAAATGACAAAGGTCTGCTGGATTTTAAGTTTCGGCAAGTAAAACTGTAGACATGGAGGATGCTACTGAAAGTCAATGGGTCAGATTCTACTGTAGGCTTTAAAGGCAAACTTTACTCTACTGTAAGGCATTGGAGTAAATTTGAGGATAGTAACTTCACAGCTTAACTTAAAGTTAACAAAATGTTTTTAGTTTGGCAGCAGTGGAACAGATATTGACCTCCAGCTGAAAATATTTAGAAAAGACTAAGTTCTATTCAAAAACTATAGAAAATCAAAAACCAAAGAAGTACCTCCTTAAGTTCTATTGACTCCCACTAAATTTAGGATGTAACGTTAGAGTTAATAATAAGTAAACTTTAATCCAATGGGTCAGATTCTGCTTTGTTGTGCCTCTACAATATTTTAAATCAGCGTGATCATTTGTGTGAAGTCACTAAAAGGAGAACAATTAGCTGTGAGGCACTGAAAGATTTTGTTTGTTTGTTTTTATTTTAAGTGTAAATAAATGGAGCAGAGTTTACTGCTGAAGGTAAGTCAGTGGAGCAGTAAAAAAAAAAAAGAAACATGATATGGCAACAAAACGCCTGTAAAACTTACTACAAATGTTAATGTGGTTGTTTTTGTGTCTGACTACTTTACAATTCGACAACTTATATCAGTGTAAAGTATAAATCGTTAATGTTTAGACCTCCACACATAAGGTAATGTTATAGGTTATCTGAAAGTCAACGGCAAACTTTTTTTTTGTGGCCTTAAGTATTTCTGCATCAGTGGAATAGATATTGACCTCAAGCTGTGAATACTTCACGTTTCTATACAAGTCAATGGAGGGTCAAAAACCAATGACCCACTCCCTCACTTCCATTAAATTCCATTGACGTCTACTGAGTCAGGGTTTTTTCTGATAACCGTAGAAAAGACAAACTAATGAACGAGGACGTGTGCTAAATACTGGTGTGAATGTATAAAATGTTTTTTGGAGTTAAATTTTAACCGTTAGCTGCATGTAGCAACATGTAGCTGCTGGCTATGCTAAGTGGTGTGACTGAGATGAGGGTGGTAAACTAAAGAAAGAAAATGGAAATCAATGTTTCGGGGTGAATCGATCCTTACTGATTGTGATTAGATGTTTAGGTTTCATCCAGATCCCGCTCATCACTCACGCAGCTCGAGTGGTTTGTTGGGCGCTGGGATCTTCACGTCGGATGGTTCGACTCCCCAGATCTCACGGGCGTACTGAGAGATGGTCCGATCGCTGGAGAACTTTCCAGAGGCGGCGATGTTCCGGATCACCATCCTGGTCCACTCTTTGGGGTTCTGAAGGGAAACATGAAACACGGCGACTAGTTTCAATTATTTGTCTCGTGGATATTAATGATGTTCTGTTGGAATCATCACAACAACTGAAAATATCTCATCTACTACAACTCCCATGACGCCTTTCACCAGGAAACATCCAATCACAGAGCTGCTCTGATGCTACAGGTGACAATTTATTAAAAAAACTGCAAATACTTTTAGTCTAAGTCAATGGAGAGTCAAAAGCCATTGAAGCACTTCTTCACTTTCTACATTTTACTGACTTCTACTAAGTTGACTGTTTTACTGTTAGAGCCATATAAGAATGAATATGAAAGTCAGTGGGTCAGATTCTACCGGAGGATTAAATGGAAAACTTTGTTGTGTTGACACTGAAAGTCAATAGGGAACATTTTTACTTCTACAGTATTTTAAATCAGTGGGACAGTCAGTTTGTTTAAGGTAAATGAAAAAGTAACAATTAACTGAAAGTTAATGGGATTTTCTTTCACGTAAAGTTTCTTGCATAAGGTTTTAGGTTCACTATGACCAACAATTTTTCATGGTTCAGTGATGAAAACTATTTGAGTCAATGGGAAACATTTTTAGTTCTGTTGTTGAGTTTCACTGGAGGTCAACGCAACTGAATCATCGGTTGTGGTGCCGCTGAATATCACACTGCTGTTTGGAAACTCAAACTAACTTCTGAACCAAAACATGGAACAAGATTTTGGTCCACAAACCGAGAGACAGTGGAAGTCAACAGTGAACTTTTCTTTCAGCAGTCAAATAATATAGATAGGCTTTAATTTTTCACAGCAGGTTACTCAGCCACTTTCTGATCGGTCTGAGAATAATTCAGTAACCATGGCAACGTGTTTTAACTCTGATTCACACCTGACCATTTGCTTCTCCATGGCAACAGCAGCTGAGGCTCATGTAGTGTTTGCAACCAAACTACAGAAACAAAATATAAACATTTATGATGTTGACATCATCAGGAGAGTGACGACAGAGAACATCATCTGTTCATCAGATGCGACCTGAGAGGACGGTCACCAGGTGAGTTACCTTGTACAGCTCGCTGACTCTCTCCTGACACCGGACGTAGTCTTCGTAATCGGCGAACACTTTGAACCTGACACACAAACACAAAGGGACGTTTTACACACAGCAGAGGAACAATACTAACTAAGCTAACAGTTTCCCCCTGCTCCCAGTGTTTGTGCTAAGCTAAGCTAACTGTTTCCCCCTGCTCACAGTGTTTGTGCTTAGCTAAGCTAACTGTTTCACCCTGCTCACAGTGTTTGTGCTTAGCTAAGCTAACTGTTTCACCCTGCTCCCAGTGTTTGTGCTAAGCTAAGCTAACAGTTTCCCCCTGCTCCCAGTGTTTGTGCTTAGCTAGGCTAACAATTTCCCCCTGCTCACAGTGTTTGTGCTTAGCTAAGCTAACTGTTTCACCCTGCTCACAGTGTGTGTGCTAAGATAAGCTAACAGTTTCCCCCTGCTCCTAGTGTTTGTGCAAAGCTAAGCTAACCACGTCCATGGACACAGAAATGAACCTAATGTTAACCTGCAAAGGACAAAAACAGGAAGTGATCCTGACTGAATCACAGTTACAGTAAAGGGGACAAACAGCAAATAAAATATAAAAGATGCTCTTTTCTTTACATTTAATTTTATGTATAACTTCATTTAAAGTGTTTTACACGACACAACACACACACACACAAAAAAAAAAAACACTGAAACAGATCGAAATACAAAATCCAGTTTAAACTGAGATTAAAAACTGATTCATCAGCTGATTTCAAACAAAAATGAATTAGTGTTTCTTTAAATCTGGTCTGATAATTAGTGACAAATTAAAGTTTCGGTTGAATCAGGATGAAAATGATGAAAACAAACTGTTCCTGTGTGAGACACACACACACACACTCAGGTGAGATGTTTACCTGTCGTGGTTTATCAGCATGTCGACCAGCTCTGTAAACAGCTGAGGTTCATTGGGACTGAAGAAGCCGCTCTGGATCTGATCCACGGCCAGTTTGAGCTCCGGCAGAAGCTCGTAGAACTCTCTGGCATTGTACCTGCAGCACAAGTAAACAGGAAGTGATGTCACAGACTGCAGCTATATTGTTTTTATTTACCATAATGACATTGTTTATGGCATACTGTACTATGACATTTTATATGTTGTATTTATTACATACTGCAGTATCATTTTTGTAACTCTAATGTGATGTTTTTAATAAAACTGAAGGACAGAATTATACATTCTTTTTCTGAATGTTTATGGCAATGAAATAATTTACTTACTTGATTGCAAAATATACTACGACTTCTTTTTTATGATTTTGGACGACATGCTATACTATGACTTTTTCATGATTTTGGACGACATGCTATATTATGACTTTTTTTTCATGATTTTGGACGACATGCTATACTATGATTTTTTTTTTCATGATTTTGGACGACCTGCTATACTATGACTTTTTCATGATTTTGGACGACATGCTACACTATGACTTTTTTTCATGATTTTGGACGACATGCTATATTATGACTTTTTCATGATTTTGGACGACATGCTATATTATGACTTTTTCATTATTTTTGACGACATGCTATATTGTGACTTTTTCATGATTTTGGACGACATGCTATACTATGACTTTTTCATGATTTTGGACGACCTGCTATATTATGACTTTTTCATGATTTTGGACGACATGCTATACTATGACTTTTTCATGATTTTGGACGACCTGCTATATTATGACTTTTTCATGATTTTGGACGACATGCTATACTATGACTTTTTCATGATTTTGGACGACCTGCTATATTATGACTTTTTCATGATTTTGGACGACATGCTATACTATGACTTTTTCATGATTTTGGACGACCTGCTATATTATGACTTTTTCATGATTT